AAACTCTCTACTCATAAAATCCATTTAAGTTCTATTACTAGTTTAAAAGCTCACAAATTATTCATTTGTCTGGCAATAATATTTATGTGCGCCATAAAACATCAAGTACTAACCTCATTCGTTAAAAAAAAACTACTCCCACTTCAAATTTAGAGGCAAATGTGATAAATTAGAATATTTTTATGGCGTGTTCTTTTAAAACAAAACATAGCCGAAATGAGCTAGATGCAAGTTTGTGGCCATAAAATCTTTTTTTCAGACATAACTACAACTAATAATTTATTTATGTAGCAGTATAAGTGTTGTTTGCCAATAAAATATCACCTTAGGTGGCAACTATATTTGCATAACTTTTGTTTTTGATTTTTTTTTTTTTTTTGAACACAAAAGGGCTTAACCCAGATGTCAATCGTAAGCACGAGACCATTAATGGGAGCTACCGTTCTGTTTAAGTTTCCTTTTTTGTTTGTTTTATTCTTTAATATTGGTCGCCATAAAAATGATCAAATGGCGTGACGTAAAACGATCATATTGAAGCTGTTTATTTGCACAAGTATTGACTTGGTAAGCAAGCTAAAGTCTTCAATAATAAATCATTTTAAAAATATCGTCATAAAATCAAGTTCCTAAAAATGACCACACATGATTTGATAGTATTTTGTATTTTGCTGTGCCAGTTTTTTCTTTTAGCTTTCCTGTGAACTTTAAAATTGTTTCAAATCTTTCTTTTGAATGTCATAATAATGATGGCGCATAGTGGTCTGGTAAAATGAATGTGATGAACGAAAAAGGAAGACAGTCTCTTAGCCGTAAAAACTCTTTTTTGTCAGATGCATTTAAGCTGATAATAAACTTGTTAAAACTGAGAGCAAAATGTGTGGCGGCAGAAGATCAAGTAAACAATAAAACTGTTGACGCAGGATGATTTTTAACGCTGTTGATCGAAATGATTAAAATGCATTTTTATTGTGGTAAAATAAAATGAAAAAGAATAAAATAAAATGAAAAAAGTCGAAACAAATGTTAAAGGCATGACAGGAACAAAAACCCAAAAACCTAACATAACAACAATAAGCAGGGTATCACCATTGTATTTGCCTTTTATACTACTGATCACTTTTTTTGGGTACTCTATAGTGGGTTTGAGTTATAAACAAATTGCTTAAACAACAGTTGTTGTAATAACTTAAGCGGACCGGCCTTTACCAGGAAACGAAGGTTCTCCTAGTGATGGAACAATATAAGTTAAGTACTTTTTAGGAGGGAAAAATGGGGACTTCCGATTTGAAATATTTATATTATAAAGAATCATAAACTCTCCAATATTTGTGGAGTAACACAAACAAAACGGACCAAAAATGGGTAAAAATTTGTATCTTTTAGGTCCTAAACCTATCCTATAAATGGTAAAGGTACTATTCCTTAAAGAAATGAAAAGTGAATTGATCATTTAATGATCAATGAACTTTAAATTTGAAAAATCCGGGAAAACCAGTAGAAAAGTACCGAAATTGATACAATAAGTTGTTAAAAGTGAGCTTACCACATTTCGTAACATTTAGACAACGGATGTGTTTAAATAATACCCAGTTATCATTTTGTCAACCAGCGTTGTCATTTTGACAAGACATCGTTGTCATTGCATCAAAGCATTATTGTCAATTCTATTACATTTTGTGTCATTTCGACAACGCATCGTTGTCATTTAAACAACGCCACATTCTGTTTGACAACATAGCGTTGTCACTTTGATAACTCATCGTTTTCACTCAGAAAAGATATAAATATTAATATGACAACTATCCGTACGTACTTTGACAATGAATGTTATTGAAAAATTATAAACACTTTGGTGTCAATTCGGTACCAAGCGTGTATAAAATTAAAACGTCTTTTTTCCCTCAGTGTAGAGGTCATTCAATATCGTTAATGCTGCCTAAATTTTATTTGACTTTGTTTTCATTTTGTTGTTATTGTTATATTTTACTTTGCCAAAATGTATCATAAGCAAAAAAGAGAACAACTTTTGTCTACATTTTGTTAAAATCAGCATGAAAATTTCACAGTAATAAAGTTATCGTTTGGTTTTCTGTGAATTACGAAAAACAGTGTGGAGAGCACAGCACTGAAGAATGATCATTTTTTTTAGTTTTCTTATAAAATAAATATAAATAAAATAAAAAAAGTAGTAGATTGTGATAAAGTTAGAATTTCTTAGTTTATGGTCTGTTATGTTGCAATTCTTAAGAACAAAATGTTGTCTTCGGGAATATTTTTGCTGGTATATATTAAATAGCTATTGTAGTTTATTTCGTTTTTAATTTAATATAAGTGACAAAAATATCTCGTTTTCGAAATATTGATTCCGATCAGGGAAAGAAATCGAGTATAATTTTTTCCGTATTTTTTGAAAAAAAAACCTGGTCCGTGGTAAGTCATTAGAAAAGACCCGTCTTACAGCGGATAGGGGTTCACTAAAATTAGTGGTCCCAAAACCGCCAAACATGAACTCTCATACTCTTTAGTATTAAATTCTTCAATGAAGAAAGCAGGTGGCAATTTTTGTACATGGCTAAGCCGGTCCATGTACAAGCACTTTGCTGAAGTACTCGAGCTATCTAATCTCTTGCCATAGTAGCCCCGTTGGGGAAGGACAGGTGTTATGAGCAAGCTCAATCTAACCCCGACAAAGGAAAAAGCAATCACTGGTAAGAGTCAATAGTAGGGGCAGAGCCAACATCAGGTGAAAACACCCTATTGACGTTATGAGGAATGTTCTGTCCCTACAAACATTCTCATCATCTAAAGATTCACCCCAGTGCATTCCTGGACCTCATAAAGTCGCCCAACCACACTACCGAGATGGCTTCTGTTGGTTTGGTAACATCACCTAGAGACATATTTGGTAGCCCGAAAAACCCAAGATAATAAATCAGTATCCCTCTTCATGAACCGATCCGTAACAAAGGATGTAAGAATTTCCAAAGTCAACAGAGCCCAATAATTGCCCCGACAAATAGTCGCGTAGCACGAATCAATATATCCTGTTGAGATGGCAACAGCACCGAGAAACTTCTCCGAAGCTTAAAAAGGCATACTAAATCAGTACCAATCTCCAATATATGGAGACTTTCCCAATCTTTCACCAATTTTTGCATCAGTTCCATTCTCATGATCATAAAGATCTTTTTACGGAATGACAGGCAACTACTGAACGCTAACCTGACAATTCTCCAGCATATACCGGCTCCCTACTACACGACCGGTAAGAAATACCGATCGGGTTCAGGAATCCAGCATATGCTGCTTTGTCCACAGACATGTGTCATTTGAAAAGAGAATTAGCCATCGCATTATATATAGGGTATATCAGCCCTTAAACCAACAATCTCATCCCGCGAATTTGGGTTTAAACCACAGCCACTACGTGGATCAACCAACTGACCAACCAGGACAAGTCCTGTGGTCAATTGGCCACCCATAGTACCAGATTATGGGGTGCTCTGGTTAGACCCCTTTTCAAATCATGCAAGACTAGAGATACTGGTAGCACCAAGATGGGATCTATCATCAAGGAAACATGTCCAATAATGAGCATTATAATTATTTTTTGAAGGGAATCTTATACGGGGAAAGGGTCAATTATTGTCCGATATTCGCCATAATTCAGAATTTTATTTCTGGAAGCAAAAAACTGACTTGTGCGAAATTTTGTAGCAATTGCTACATAATTAACGAATTAGTAACTGTTTTAACTTTTTTTACACAATATTACGGGGACACATTTGTATGGGAGTTATGAAATATTGGACCGATTTTGCCCATATTTTGGGAAAATGTTTTCTTCCTATCACTTTTTTGTGGACGCTGACGTGCCAACAACAAATAGAGGGACAGACAGACGGACATAGCTAGATCGTCTTAGAATCTCACGCAGACCCATAATATACATATATACTTTATGGGTTCTAGGAGCAATATTTCGATGTGTTACATATGGAATGATAAATTTAATATACCCCTAATTTTTTTTAATGGTGGGTATAAAAATACTATGTAGGTTGCTATAATATAACCCTTTGCTATCCTATAATATTACTTGCAAGACGACAAAGTTAATCGTTTGTCCTGATTAAATGTCAGCCTTTTGTCTTTTTATATCAAACGGCTTAACATATCAAAGGATATGTGTGGTAAGTAAAGATTATTAAAAATATTTTTTTTTTTTATTATTTAATATGTTTTAACCAGAGATTAGTTGCTTATAATGAGTCAAAAGGAAAATATTATACTTATTTACATAAAAAGAAAACTAAGTTTTGTGTGTGTGTGTTAATGAAAGGATGTCACGTTCTGTTTATATTTTTTTTTATAAAGGTAATTTTTAACATATTTATATGTTTGTACATATGTACATATGTGTGTTGAGTGATAATAAACGTGTTGCAGCATCGTCATATGTACAAATAAAGGCTTTATAATCTTAATTAAAATAAAATCTAGAACATGTTTATATACATGGTCGTCGCCCATAAAATCAGTTAATTACGCTGAATGGGTGATTACCTTAATTCATCGGAAACGGTGCAAGCACCTTAGTATTCTAAGAATGCTAACGAGGGTTAGCATCTATTACCCCATAAAATCTGGTCTCTATATTAAGAGGGGCTGTGTGATATATGACCCTTGCATTGATTGCATTTACTGAGGCCCGTCTATTGCCTTATATTAGCAATATCGGAATCCATTTACTATATATTTAGTATATACTAATTATGATCGTTCCAACTTTTACATCCCTGATTCCAATTTATTTGCATAAGATTGATACATTTAAAATAATCCACATTTTATCAAAAGTGTGCATGATAATGTAAATAAGATATTAATAGCACGAGATTTATCTTATGAAGCATAAGTTAACCTATTTTTTACACATATAAAAGCGAATCGTAACTGCTGAATATATAAAGTATTTTAACAGATAATTACCAAGCATAATGCTTAAAATTATTCTGAAAATTGGTGTAGTTTTAACATTGCTTCTCGTGACGGTGAAAGCTCAAACGGATGAAAATAAATTGCAAACGAAACAAATTGAAGAATATGAAGAAATTGATGTTACAGAGGATTCTTTAAGTGTGTTAGACCCTCTTAAAAATATTGATGATATCAATAATAATAATAAATTTAATGATTCTCGGATAAATGGTGGCCAAGTGGTTAAAAAAATTGTACCTTTTCAAGTATCCCTGCAAGCATATCGACGTAATCGCTGGCGTCATTTCTGCGGCGGTTCCATTATAAGTTCCAGTCATGTGCTAACCGCTGCTCATTGTGTGGATAAAATGAAAGCTGAGGATATACATATAGTTGCTGGCACTCTAACTTGGAATACGGGTGGACAGCGACACAGAGCATCGGCTAAACGTGTGCATCCAAAATTTGCCTTAAGTCCAAGGATTATAAATGATATTGCTGTATTAAAAGTTCAGCCAGCATTTAATTTACATCGTAATAACATTGGAACTATTAGTTTGGGCGGTACAAGTCGTGTACGAGATAGAGTTAAAGTGCGTGTAACGGGATGGGGATCTACAACTCCTACAGCAGCAGGAGGTTTACCCGATAAATTACAACAATTGGAATATCAGACAATTACAAATGAGGAATGTGGTAGAAAGGGTTTTAGAGTGACTCAAAATGAGATTTGTGCATTGTCTGTTGTAGGACAGGGATCTTGTATGGTAAGTTGGTTATTTTCTTTTAATTCACTATCTACTTTAAATATTTTTTGTATATTATTGTCCAGGGTGATTCTGGTGGTCCATTGATTAACACACAAGGCCCGCCACAACTTGTTGGTGTTGTTTCGTATGGTTCAGCCACCTGTGCCCAAGGCAGACCTGATGTTTATTCAAGAGTTTCCAGCTTTCTACCCTACATTACTAAAGTTATTACCAGTGAAATACCATAAAGTTGTAAATAATAAAGAGTTAACCATAAATATAGAAGTGTATGAATGTGTTTGAATGGAAAAAATTAAAGCATGAAATTGTTTCGAATGGTTGTTATACATATTCTACTTTTGTTGCATGTATTGCATAGATTTTCTATTTACTTTGAATTTGCGTAAAATTAAAAGTAAAGTGCAACGAAATTAGTAAAGTATAAAAATTTATTATCTTTAGCATTGCTAAAAAAATTTAAATCAAATACAGATGGACGGACATAGCTATATAGACGTAAAAGAATTTTATAACTCTAGAATATAGAGCAGTGTTTAGACTACGCTATAATGCGGTATATATTCTAGGCTTTAGAGCACTGTCTAAACTATGGAACAGAGTATAGTTAAGACAATATGTATTATAGATTTCAGAGCATTGTATGTTCTAGACTGCATAATAGTTTTTATTATAGTTTAGATTGTAGAGCAGTGTGTAGTCTAGAGTCTAGACTATAGAGTAGTGTATAGTTTAGACTATAAAGAAGTGTATAGTCTAGACTATAGAGTAGTGTATAATCTAGACTATAGAGTAATGTATAATCTAGACTATAGAGTAGTGTACAGTCTAGACTAGAGTAGTGTATAGTCTAAACTATAGAGTAGTGTATAGTCTAGACTATAGAGTAGTGTATAGTCTAGACTATAGAGTAGTGTATAGTCTAGACTATAGATTAGTGTATAGTCTAGACTATAGAGTAGTGTATAGTCTAGACTATAGAGTAGTGTATAGTCTAGACTATAGAGTAGTGTATAGTCTAGACTATAGAGTAGTGTATAGTCTAGACTATAGAGTAGTGTATAGTCTAGACTATAGAGTAGTGTATAGTCTAGACTATAGAGTAGTGTATAGTCTAGACTATAGAGTAGTGTATAGTCTAGACTATAGAGTAGTGTATAGTCTAGACTATAGAGTAGTGTATAGTCTAGACTATAGAGTAGTGTATAGTCTAGACTATAGAGTAGTGTATAGTCTAGACTATAGAGTAGTGTATAGTCTAGACTATAGAGTAGTGTATAGTCTAGACTATAGAGTAGTGTATAGTCTAGACTATAGAGTAGTGTATAGTCTAGACTATATAAGTCTAGACTATAGAGTAGTGTATAGTCTAGACTATGGAGTAGTGTATAGTCTAGACTATGGAGTGTATATGTGTATAGTCTATAGAGCAGTGTACAATATAAGTATGTATTCTAAAACATAATTTGTATGGAGATGGGTGTAATTATGAACAGATTTCAACCATTATTATTAGAGTTCGTTTCTGAGCTTAATCAATTTGTATAGAATTATGTTAAATATATGACCCACAAAAGACCTTTCTACTAGATGGCTGTCAAAAATCCATATCTTTTTATTGGATCGAAATTATTAAGGCTTTATTTTTTTTTTGGGTTTTGGAGATGGACATTTGGACTTCAATTTTCCCTTAACTTCCCCATTTTGGTGTGATTGCAATCCCGGGGAAAAGAGGTGCTACCAAATAATCTGGTACCATGGCAACCTGTAGACCTCAGTGTAGAGTTTCGGACTTTGTCTTGTCCCAGTTATTGGAGAGGTCCTTTCATGGTGGCTGTGTTTTAAACTCAAATGCGCTGTTGCCGAAGTCAATTAATACTCCACAGAGGAATGACTGTGGGACTAAGCGTTGGAAATGGTTTGATGTTAAGTGTATATGTTACAGGATAAATGTATGGATATACGGAACTTGCCCGCCCGCATACCTATGGTGAGTGTGACGGATGTTGTTCTCTACAAGTGTGTCGAAAGAATGAGAAGTGTGCTGGGTTGAATGGTGATGGATGAATGGTATCTTATACAAGTATTGAATTTCCCTTCCTAGTCCAAATATGTTGAGGGTTTAATCTGTTCGTACCAGATTTACCAAAGCGTATTCTCTGTGCGTAAGAACAAAGTCCTTGGCTTATTTGATGGATTCGTGTTTCGGTGTACCTTTAGGTGGTAAACGGAGGTGATGTTTTTGCATCTCGGAAGTAAGAAACGTGAGTAAAGTTTTTGTAACCGGCTTGTAAGATACTCAAAGGGGTGGTGATGAGTCGTCTAGTTCGTATTAGTATAAGCCCACTGATCTATACCTCCCAATTTACCCCTAATATTCATATTTGATCACTCTAGCTTTTATAGTTGCCAAGATATACGAATTTAAGTATTTGAATAATATTGGAGATGCCACGCCCACTATTGCTAGCTTGACTATTTAGTTGAACAGGCAAACTTTGCTGTGATAGTTCATGTTTCATCACCCTGTTCACTGTGATAAAGTTGAATACAGTTATAATTTTTTGGCCATCTCAAAAAATGGTCCACCTGCGACCTGTATTTTTAAGGTAATTTCTAGGCAATAAAGACTATAAATGCCTTTTACTGATAGAAAAATCTGTTGTCCAATTTGGAAAAATTAACTAGAGTACTATACAGGGTGTTTAATAAGAAACAATTTAAATTGTTATTTTCCACTATATGTACATAAATGTTGTCATATAGTTATTTCCCCTTTTTCTTGTACACATGTACACATTCTAAAGAGACAACAAGAGTAACCATAAATTAATTTAAATCAATCAATTCAATTTGTTTGTCAATAAAAATCTTAATAAGAATCTTTTTTTTTGCCTTTATTTATTTAAACGAATTTCATTGACGACCCAATTGTACATGGCAGTGCCATCCATAAACTCAAAGTCACTTCTACTAAGAACTTTGGTTGGAAAGTGTACAGAGTTGAGTAATTCGAATGAATTGAATGGTAACAAATAAATGAATTATTGTTTTTATGTACCCAATACATATTTTTAGAGAAGATGTTGAATGTGAGAACTATTATTATTAGGAGAAATATTTCTGAAAACGTCGTCAAAACATTCTAGGTTATTAAAAAAATTGTAGATGGATGTAGAAATTTTAGATACTTTATTAAAAATTAAAAAAATTACATTAATTATCTGCTAAAATTTTTGATTATTGTGTCATTAAATGTTTATTGGGTTTATATGTATGTTAGTTGTATGTATTTATAATATTCTTTTGGTATTAATATACAAATACGAGTATGTATGTTATTTCAAAGTGATCATTAAAATCAATTAAAATTGATTTCTTTCTACAAGCTCTTTCTTTTAAAAGAAATTGTTGTTATAAGATAAATTTACTCGTACATACAAGTTACTCTCAAAAACAAATGTTAGTAAATTTGTAAGTAAATAGAATACAGTAAATGGGATTTTGCACAACACCCTAAAATATTGGTCCTACCTTAAAGTACCTACCTCAAAGTATGATTTTCTGAGACCTATGTTATGTCCGTCCATTGTAATGAAATTTCAAGTCGAAATTTTCAAATTCTTCCAATACCAAATTCTATTGATTTACACTAAAATCGCTCTATATTTCAAATAGCTCAAATACAACTGTGCCCTTGGTTACTGAAATTCTAAATAAATATGTTAGTAATAGGTTCTCTGTAATTTTATCAAATTTTATGAAGATCGGACTGTATATCCTGCCACTGTAAGTTTACGAGGTCCAAATTTACTGAAGAAATATATATATATATATATATATATATATATATATATATATATATATATATCTCGGCCAATATTGGGCCTCTTCTCCGCCTTTCCATGTTGTTAAAAACGGTCCAGAAACTTAGTTTTCTAGACGTCATTCCTAAGAATTTTCAATCAGAGTTCATGTTTTTAATATCACGATATTTGGATTTAATTTTGACAAAATTCTGACAATGTCAAAAAAAGTGCTCTAGAGTTTCTCTGTTCTCTTTACATGCTTTATATTCGTGTGAATCAGCACGTCCAGTTTTGTATAGCTCTACTCGTAATCCAGTGAGTCCACTAATAATCACCACACTAACCTCACACTTGCTTATTTTGAGGAGGATTCTCGCCTATCTCTCGTTAGGGTCACAGGATTCTGTGGTTATATTCCAACATGGGTTTCTCTCGGCCATATTTTTAATTCGTCCCTCGTTGCATCGTGTGGTGTTGTGTTCGTCAAGTTAACTACCTCTAGCTCTTTCATTGCCGACTACTCCAGAGTGGCCTGGTATACATATGAGCTTACTTCTGTGAGAGTATTCTGTTAAGGCTTTCTTACAATCCGATAAAATCTTAGATTCAACCCCAACACCTGATATCGCCCTAATTGACAAGCGTTGAGATTAGGTAATATATTTATGTTTCTGTTGTCTTCATTATAGAACCCGAGGCCTGATTTTTAATCCTGTTTAGAGCCACACATTTCGCCTATGTTATTTCGAATTGTCCAAGGTTCCTGAATAGTTATGATTCTTACCAACATTTATTTTAGCCATCAAAGCGTTGGTAGCCGTCTTGCTCCGATGGAGATTTATTTGGATAACCCCAATCACGGTCATTCATTAAACTGTCTTCTAGCGAGTTAGTGATCATCTCCTCGCTCTTTGGATTTGACACCTCCGTGTAGCCTGAAGTGAATATTTATGCAGTGGATACTATTAATAGCACTGCGGTGTCCTTATCAGGCCTTGGGATACCAGTCTTTTTAATTAGCCCAATTTTGGAAAGGACTGCCTTCTGCAGAGTGAGTGATTTCCTTCTAGCTTTTAGGATTTTATTCCTCAACGTTGTTTGTAGTGGCTAATGATGCTGTGGGCATCATTAGCAGCTCACTGCACGAGTTAGTGGTAACCTCCTCGATTTTAGGAATTGACTCCTCAACGTTACCTATAGTGGCTAATGATGCTGTGTGCATCGTCTTGGGTATTTTAGTGTCCTTGTCGGAGCTTGTTGTTTTCAATTTTGAAGATGATAGCTTTATAGGTGAACTAAGCCTTTCCTTTGTTCTGGGGAAAACTAGCCATGGAGTTGTGGTCGAAACCTATTACATGTACAGTTCCCTCAGGTTTTTCTTTCCTATGAAAGACATCCCATTTTACATGGTCAGCTCAGCATTTCGATTTCCAATAATT